GTTAGAGCGAAACCGTGTGATAGGATGCTGTGTTGTAGGAGGTTTCCCGCAATTTATGAATCGTGCTATAGTGAAACCGTGTTATAGGATACCTGTACTTAGGATTGCAATGAATATGGCCCTGAAAGAATGTCAAGAGTATTTGGACTTAGAATGTATATATATAGAATATATATATGTATGTATATGTATCTATATGTAAACATATAGAAAAATATATCCCTACATATATACAATAATTATTAAGTACACATAGATTTTGAATATATATATATGTTGATATAATAAAGGAGCGATGTCTGTAAGAAAGGGACGAGTGGGACAAGTGTGCATGGGGTGCCAATATCTAATGGGATTCAGGTTATAGTGATAAATGAGTATGCGTGTAATGATCGAGATATGTGTGAATTATGTATGTTCATGTAATGTATGAAAGTAGAAAGAACAAACCAGAGAGACTTGGCATAGGTCAGTTATAATGAACAAACCAGAGAGATTTGGCATAGGTGAGTTGTAATAGTGAAAATAGGTGTGAGCATGTGACTACGAGAAATTAATTATTATAATTATTATAATTTTTTAATATATATTATTATATTATCTAATATATATTTTTAATTAGATTAATATACTTAATATTTGTGTTTGATCATTTTTTGTAATTAAATAAAGAATTGTTCTTATTGTTACTGATATTTCATCTACCACTAATAAGGGATGCATAAAAATGGCGTATTTGGGCAATCGTTGTAAAACGTCACTATTCTTCTAGTTCTTTTTACTAATCGAGAATTTTCCAACTGAATGACTTTCACAGTCGATTCACCGATCGCAGCGCCACGCGTGTCATAAATTGGTACTCGGCGTGATAACTACTCTAAACAAGCTAATTACTCATGGATTGACGATGTAATGACATATATTGCGTGATAATGTATCAATTTTTAGTCGATCATGTCGAGCAAAAATGCCTTGGCACGGAACGTGTTAATGGAATCACGGCTACTTCTTTTTCCGACTTAACCGCGTCCGAGGTGCCCCCGCTGTCATCGTTTGGAATGCCGGTTTTGAATAATTAGTTTTGAATAATCGATCGAGTTGCGGGAAATCTGTTAAGGGGTTTATGATTCGATTTACTTCGAATTATTAATCCCTTGTGCTTCACTCACGCTGGTATTGACAATCAGCGATGGGTTATTCTTGTCGAGAAGAAATATTTAAAAATATCTAAAATCGATTAAAATATCTGAAATTAAATTTTTATGGAGGGAGGAGCCAATAAGAGAGAGTTTCTCTGTTTCTATTCGAGACAGAAGAAGATCATAGAGGACTCTGTGTAGATAATTTTATTATCACGTGTAGAGTATCTATTTCCTGGAGTGCATCGATGCAATTGCAATGTGATATTGCAATTAAGATAACAAAATTGTTATGGGAGGGACAAATAATATACAGGGTGAGTCTCCGCTTATATTTTAGACGGAAAAAGATAGTAGAAGATTTTATCTAGATTTTATCTAGATAATTCTATTATCACGTGTAGTGTACCTTTCTTCCGGAGTGCACTGATGGAATTGCAATGTGCATATTTCTTCGTATGACTCTTAATACCTTGACTGCCATGGTGTATTATATATTATATGGTACACTCAGGGGGCCACGATGAAATTTCCATTATTCTTCGAATATAATGACGAATTATCAAACAATATGGCAAAGAAAAGAAAAATGGTGGAAATTATGAATGTCAAAATTCTCTATTTATTTACGTTCTTCAATTATTCAAAAATTGGTTAGAATGAAACAAAAATGAAAATTTAGAAAATTAGTATTCTCGGATACCAATGACCACCGTGGCCCCACTGAGGAGACAAGCGCCTGGCACTGATGACCACCGTGGCAGTCAACCTGTTAATAAGAAGATATATCAATTAGGCTCGAAGAAACGAAAATTTTGAAAATGCAATAATGGAGCATTTGAAAATTCATCACAGACGCCAATGAAAAGATATCTCGGAAAAGCAGAGTTACAAATTCACCCCGTATTAAAACGAATTCCCGGATCTTTAAGAAACCTTCCCCTATCCTAATAAAATATTCAAAAAACCTCGTTGTAACTTTAAAAGATAGGTATCCGAGCCGATAAAAAAATTTTTAAAGCACGAAGGGCTAATTCAGAGATCGGAAATAATTCGTGCGTTTGCCAGGAACACGCGTATCTTGAGCTACCATCGAACATCGTGGTACACCCCCGCTGTTACACCGGCACGATAAATGTCACGAAATAACCGATAAAAGCTGCGAGAGTAGAGGGGAAAAAGCAGGTCTTTTTCCGACCCCCGCGTCTCGAAAATAAGCCTGAACGGTATCGCTATCAAAAGTCCAATCAATGATCCAAACAGTCCCCCATTAAGCCACCCTTCTCGTAAACACCCCGGGAAGTTAAGAAGAACCAAAAACTCCGAGCCCCGTGCCTCTGCAAAGCCTATTATCAGCTTTGCCCGTTGCTTTCCAGTCTGGTTCCTCCGGAGCCCTGTTCTAAAAGCGAATCGAAAGACGGTTGCTGTTACGCGGTGCATACGGAGTATCTCGCCTTGGTATACCTAAATGAACCAGGAAGTCGGTATTTCGAAGGTTTGTAACACGAAAGAAAGGCTACATTCGAATTGGTATCTTGGATTATCAGGAGTCAATGAATATGGTGTTTGTAAGTAGGAATGCATCCGTAGTTGAGAAGAAGGAAACCATTTTTCCATTCTTACAAGAGGACCCTATGTTCGTGGGCATGGTTTTTGGAATAATAGTAGGTGTAAGTTATAGTGCTGTAGGGAGTCCTCCCTCTATGGTTGTCGATGTCGTCTAGATTGCAAGTATCCTCGTGTGACGGCAGTGCTAGAAAGGAAAAGCAAGGGATGCGTTTCGTTCAGGCCTGTTAGTGGACTCATCAGTAGGGCTACTTGCGAGAGAGTCCTCCAAGTCGGAATCCATCTAGTGGCGAGGATGAGAATAATGGTCGCTACAGTACATACTATGCGTGGCTGAAAAGAAGTCATCTCGTTAAGTTACGGAGCAAGAGGGGTATTCCACTAGCAATACCCACTCTTCTATGACACTCCCAAAACTACTACCGCCAAGTTCGGTAACGCGATACGTTAACATAGGCGTAAGATATCAGTAAAATTCTTACACTCGAATAATAGAAGACGCAATCGAAGACCTAGGATTGGAAATACAAAGCAGCGAGTCGGATAAGGAATCGGATGACAATAGCTCGGAAGATTTATAAGATAAAGGAGTACGAAAGTAATAATAATTAACATCATTTATGAAAATTGATTTAAAATTTAAGATGTATTTTTTACGATAAATTAATTATGTAATTGCATCATACTAGATAACCGTTTAAAAAAATCACACGATACGACATAAATATAAAAAATATGTGTACAGTACAGCACGTTTGCTGAACAATGCGATGAAAAGTTGATCGAGATGCTAATTAGTAATTAGTAATTGCAAATAATCACGTGTTCGTCGGAAGAATCTGAAGTTAATATGCTTTTGGGACGAGTCTACGCTCTTGCGTCTATTCGTTGCGTCTGTCTCATTTTGTCTCGTTGCTTCCTTCGCTTTCTTTGTCACACGGTGTTCTATGACAGGGCTAATAGGAAGGGGTCAGTTCTGCCAATAAGGGAAGCCCTTTACTCTACTTCTGCCATGACGATAGAATGATTGAGTTGGTGAGGATTCGGTCCTACGAGTTTCTCAGGTGACTTCTTTTCAGTCACGCATAGTACTTAGTATTGAAAAAGCTTAATAGGTTTCTTCATGGTAGACCCTCATTTTCGAAATATTTTGATTTAAAGTTTTGTATACACTTTGTAAAGGAATTGACAGTCTTTAGCAAAGCGAGTTGTAGGAAAGTTGACAGTCTGCTTGACAGGAAAGAGGTAGGGAGTAGGTTAATGCGTCTATGACCGAGGAACTAAAACATATAAACATATATTCAGTGAAAACAACTGATAGAGCCGAAAGACTCATATGTGGGTCTCACATAAACAGTTACTGTGGTCGATGACATCTTGTAGCGCTATGAACGAAAATCGTTTAACCCTTTGACTGCCACTGGAAAATAATAGTAAATTGGTGATATAAGACAACATTCTTATCCAATGCAGCTGTTTATCTTATTGGCGGTCACGGGTGACCATCGGTGACGCCTTGGTGACGATTGACAGTCTACTAACTGTCAATTTTCATTCAATTTTTACAATTGTAAGTAGTACAAGCGCTCCGGTCACCAATGACCACCATGGCGTCACAGAAGAGACCGTGACTAGTCATATATGACCAACGTGGCAGTCAAAGTGTCAACTGCAAAGAGAATCACGATGACACGTCATTCCCGTATTTCGATCGTATCGACTCCTCGAGACGAAAATTTCATTCGATCACCTGAAATAACCCATAACGATAACTAGCACATAGCACATAGCCCCATTATACCGCCATCTTTAACCCTTTGACTGCCACGCTGAGATCACGTGTTTCGGTCAGGACGCCATGGGTATATTTTTATTATTCGAAGCATGTAATAGCAAAATAATAATAAATTGGTGATATGAGACAACATTCTTATCCAATGCAGCTGTTTATCTTATTGGCAGTCACGGGTGACCATCGGTAACGCCTTGGTTACGGTTGACAGTCTACTAACTGTCAATTTCCATTCAATTTTTACAATTGTAAGTAGTACAAGCGCTCCAGTGACCAATGACCACCGTGGCGTCACAGAGGAAACTATGGTCGGTCCTATATGACCAACGTGGCAGTCAAAATGTTAAGCAGAAATGTGCACTGGTACTTTTAAATGACAATCGCGATAGCGGCTTGGTGCCACGGTACGGTTTACTCAAAACCGCAAAGGGTCGAAACGTTTAGAGCACCCTACGCGTTCATTCGGAGGAAATAACATGGCCGCGACGCGTGGAAACAGTTACCTTTCACTCCAACGTGGCCAGCGGGTTTCTTCTGGCCTGTCTGAAAGTTGGGCGGTGGTTGAAGGTAGTTGATGCCCACGATGGTCGCAGCTGGTGGCTCGTAGTGGATCACCCTCGGCCTGTCCTCCTCCGTGCTGACCTCGGTGGTCTGCCAGTAGATGTCGTATATCGAGGCGCTGCAGCGTATCTTCAGCTTGTTCCCAACAAAATGGATGTGCGTGACGAGAAACTGAAGGCTGATCTGGGATACCTGCCACTCGGACTCGTTCTTGTCCAAACGACTGAACATGCGGACAGTGCGTACGTGCGGCTTCTCCGGCTGCGTGACAATCCCGCGATATGGTTAAATTCGAAATATTCTCTGGCCCCTGGTTACGCTTCCGCCATTTCGCGGTGATCGATAGGAGTAAGTTAGGTTAGGTTTAACTCTTTCATTACGGTAGCCATCGTCACGGAATCCCTTCCATTGAACGAAACACCAAAGATGTCAAAGATGGAAACATTGCATGGGCATGGAATCTTTACTTTTTCGAAAAAAAAAAAAAAATAAAAAAATAAAAAGAAAACCCGATCATCTCAATAACACTTGCAATTCTTTACAAAGAGAGCTAAATGGAGTGAGAGGACTCGTCTTAATTTTAGGCTCAATTTTGATGACCGGTGACTCTATAGTGACTATGCACACGTCACATGTAGATGACGTCTAAAAAAATAGAAAAATAAAAATAAAAAGAAAATCCGATCATCGCAATAACGCTTGCAATTCTTTGCAAAGAGAGCTAAATGGAACGAGAGGACTCGTCTTAATTTTAGGCTCAATTTTGATGACCGGTGACTCTATAGCGACTATTCACGCGTCACGTGTAGATGGCGTCTCGTGACCAGTGACTATAGTCACCTGTAGTAGCGAAAGGGTAAGCACGAAATTTCGCCCGATTAATTACTCGCGACGCAGGAATTCGCTAATCGCCCGCAGCGGTCCCGGGTAATACAGTTTCCACGACGTCTGGGGATACTTGTCATCTTTGCCGGGGTAATTCGCGCTTCTACGACACCGTCCCTTCCTCTCGCGTCCGAGTCGTGTTAGCCGAAATTTCGAGATTCTAGAAATTGGAACAACGGATTCCGTTTCGTTGTTCCGAAATCGCGCCAAAGGAAAATTGCAAACGATACGAGTGTATTTATTCCGAATATTTTTAATAAATAAAATAATTCGAGGAGCTCGTTAGTTCGTTCCGCGAACAGTATCGCGTTATAGGTGCATTATTCCTTTAACTCTTTGCACTTGGCGATCTTTTCGTTACAGAAACATAGTAATTTAAAGACTTTCTGCCATAAAATTGACAATGTTTTCAAAACGGTAAATGAGAAGAGCAAATTAATTGTAAAACGTAGAATTATTTCACGTAGAATTAATATTTTAAATTCGAAAATTAAATTAATTAACATCGATCTTTAGAATCTCATTAAATGACGACTGAGAGTCGCCTCTAGAGTGCAGAGGGTTAATAATTCGAAGAACTCATTTATGTTAAAGAAGAAGGTTCCCTTAATAGTTATTCTGTTATAGTTATGGGGGTGGTATCGAGTTAGGTGCGTCCAAGTCCGAGAAAAATTTCGAAGGGATTTTCGTTAATTAGCTTTGCAGTTAATTACAGAATCCTCGAGCGACGAGATTTCGAAATGGCCGCTTTGCTGGTGTGCGAAGGCTTGGCAATGTTGCACGGGTTGCCGGGTAAAGAGCAAGCTACACGTTATATGTCAGGAAGTGTTTCATTTGCGAGGAATAACAGCATTTATAGCTGATGTTTGCCCTAACTTAAACGTGCCCCGCGGGCATGCTTGGATCGCCAAGGATTAATAAACCCCTTGCTACCTGCAATCTTTCGCATCGAATTATCGGGCAAAATGGTGGACACGTGTGAAGAATATCGACTCGTTACTTCGTTAACCCTCATTCGGTATTAAATTCTGTTACATCGTGGACGATAAAAGTAAATTTCTTCCGATTTCTCCGAACAAAGATGTTTCGGGTTTCCCGACTCCCGAGGGAATTTAAATATTTCCTTTCGACGATAATTTAATTCCTCGAGGGTTCACCGTGCCGTGAAAGAGCGGATGACAAGCTGAAACAGCTTCTGTCGCTCGAAAATGCTGATAAAGAGGATCGTGCACGTCGAAAGTATCGGTATTTCGAGTAACAATGTGATTTTATCGATGGGAACCTGAATTGATAGACAACCTATTCGACAGTGCTATGTTTTCATAACGCCGTCATTACACGATCAAGAATTTCGATTATTTTTCCTCTCGATTTTGTGCTCCTTTTTCATAACGCGGAAGCATTTTTGGCAGACGTTAGCTTTTCATAGTACGTCGCTCATGGGAGCAACGGACAGCGAGAAAAACACGTTCATGAGGTTTCGTTAGGTAACGTTTCATTGCGAAATCAAATCCGCGCAGCTCGGTCCGATATGCGTATTCATCTCGAATGAGGGTGTCGGTAAAAATCGTCGAGAAATATTCTTCCGAAATATCTCATCCCGATAAATTTCGAATGGCGAGAAACGGAGAAGAAAGGGATAGATGAGAGTAATTCCGTGGAAAATGTGGTTCGAAAATTTGTCTCGCGTTATATACATTCTTGACGATCGAAAATAATTAGAGACTGCGAGAGAAATAAGGGAGATCACGACAGACAGATGTTTCTATCGATTTAATGGCCGATAATGTATCGGTGTTCTGAATAAAGATGGGTCGACGACACTCGATTCATCAATCGAGAGCTGTTCTTCTCGAGGTTCTATATTCAGGAACGATTTGTTCAGCTGGACAAACCGTGACGATTCTCGGTTATAAATATTCCGAAGGTTCGAGTGGATACGAAGGGAAATGGACGCACCTGAATATGCTATGAACGAAAATTGAGGAGAAGAATTCCATGTAAAACAACATCCCTGGATTTTATAATACGTGTAATACAGATATAAGTGACAGAATTAAGCAACTTGACTTATACATCAAAAAGAAACATCCAATTTTAACTATTAATTATTATTTTTATAGATTTCTAATTGTTATTTATTTAAAAGATAGATACAGGTGACAGAATTAAATAAGTAACCCTAAATACTGTAGAGAAATTTCCAATTTCAACTATGTATTTAATTAATTATTAAGTTGCCCATGTACATCAGAGAAACTTCAAATTTCAATTATATATTTAATTAATTACTCCTTTTATAAATTTCTAATTTTGTTTTCCTTTAAAAGATAGATGCAAGCAATAGAATTAAGTCACTTCTCCTATATACTGTAGAGAAACTTCCAATTCCAATGATATATTTAACTGATTGTTATTTTTGTAGGTTTCTAACTATTGTTTATCCAAAGCTTAGATATAAATGACAGAATTAAGTAATTCATCGTATGTGCCAAGAGTAAATTCGAATTTCAACTATAATTAATTGATAGTTATTTTTATATATTTCCAACCATTATATATGCAAAGGCTACAGAAATAATATCTTCTATAGAAATAACAATTAATCAACAATTAATTTTCTCATTCAAAAAATTTTCAAAGATTGTACAGCTCTTTAAAAAATACTTCATCCAACGATACTAATTTTTCTGCAAAAATATACCACTTTAGAATATCGGAAATCCTAGAAAAATTTCTAGAATTTCCAATTCTGTATCTAGAACGTTAAATTATGAATTCTCGCGATACCCACAAAACCACTCCAAAGATAAAAATTCCTCCACTATTTTCATCACCTGCGCCGTGAAATAACCCACCAAACAAAATTTCATTTATCACGCGATAAAACTGATTTCCTTTAATTCCCGTCACCGAGAAAATTATTCCAAAGAAATAAAGGAGTCGCGCAGTATATTTCCCAGGAATTCCTCGATCGCGTATCCATTTTCCGTATAATCCGAGCCAGCGTCGGGACAGATCGTGCGAAACGGAAGCGCTTATCGCGCCATCGACATCTTCGACGGCCACGACCACGGGGTGCGGGATGAAACGATCGGAAAGCCGTAACTCGGCCACGTCGACCCCACGCAGCGCAGTTTATTTCAATTTCGTAACTCGTTTCCGTTCTATTTCGGTGTAAGATAAAACCAGGAAGCCGGGCCACGAATTTAGCGCGATCGATTAGGTAGTCGGAACGAACGTGTTAAGTCATCGAACTTCGCGATGGTCGTGTTATCCCGTGACGATTAACTCGATTTAGAAATCTCTGACAAGATTCCGTAAACCATTCTTATTTCCGAGTCGTGCACGGTCGACGCCTTTCAACGCACGACGTTCCCGACACGGATGCGTGGCCGGTCCGCATCTTACAGGGGCTATAAAACAAGAGGAACGATAGCAAGACGGTGGGATAGAGAAGGACGGAAACACCGAACGCAGCGTAAACCGTCCGAGTGTCCGAGCCGTGCACGGTCGGCGCCTTTCCATGCACGACATTCCCGACGCGAGTGCGTGGCGGGTTCGCATCTTACAGGGGTCACAGAGCGAGACGGAGCGATAAAAAGACGAGTTAGATAAAGAGAGCAATACCGAACAGAGAGTAAAACGTCCGAGCGTCCGAGCCGTGCACGGTAGGCGCTTACCAACGCAAGGCGTTCCCGACACGGAAGCGTGGCTGGTCCGCATCTTACAGGGGCCAGAGAGCGAGACGGAGCGATAGGAAGACAGCGGATTGGAGTAGGAGGGAGACACCGAACGGGGTCTAGGAATTCGTAGCCGTTATTCACGATTTCGTATAGCAAACCGTACTTGTTGGTTGTTGATGTACCAGGTGAGATTGGCCGCGGGTTTGCTGGGTCCGGATGTGCAGTTCAAACGTAGCATATCGTTGATCCGGTATTTCCTCCTTAACCCATGTATCGACGGCCCTTGAGAGGGTAATTCTGCGGAACAAGAGACGTCAGGTACACACGGGGCAGGAAGTATGCGGAGCATGTTCGAAACGCTGCTTTGACGTTCGACTATTCCTACGTATTTGTGGATAAGTGTGTACGTGTATGTACGATGGGTCTCTACGTGTATAAATATAGAGAGATTTATATGCTGCCCTCTCTAAGTATCTGGCCTCCGTTTTATCCGATATCACGGAAATACGATCGTACGTGTGTCGTACGTGCAATTATTAGAACGAAGCATGCGTCACACATTGAAGGAATACATTAACGTAAACTGCAGATGCAAACTCGAATCTGGTCATTCAGCTTTTTCCCATTTTAAGAAAAAGGTAAGGCAAAATACTTGAACATCTATTTGCACATTTCAAAAATTTATTTTTGTCATAAATAAATAATTTCAAAATTTGATTAAAAATTCCACATTCAATGTTATAGCTTTTATACTTATTTTCACTATCTTCCCTCTAATACGCACAAAATTAATTTCTCACGTTGTTTTTAAGAACCTTCTTTCACTTCTTCACCCATTTATACCTGATATTCTTCATATGCAAAACGTCCAAAAAATTTTCGAATACAAACTCACGACAAATACAAGGAATAATCGTTGTGGAGCATAAAAATATTTGCACTGCAGCGAAGATAGGAATCTTTAGACTTGATCATACTAAGTGGCCAGATACCTATAGCGGCAAGTGTATGCGTGTGTGTATGTACATATATGCATAGTGGATTCGCTGGTTGGGCGCAGGAGGAAACTTTTCAAGATTCCCGGATGCAGCAACCAACCGGTGTGTTCACGTGTGTTCACGTGTGTTCACGTGTGCAGAGAACGGAGCCGATAGATCCTCTCGTGTGCTAGCACGCGCGAGCGCGAGCGGCTGATGAAAAATTCTTCTTTTATGGCTGGCAATTCGAGTCCGCGTTTCGATATCGGAATAATGCATTCGTAAGAGAGACAAGTATTGTCCCGAACCCCCTTTCGGATCGGAGCGTGCCAAATATTTCCGGGGAAGTGTTTTCGAACGGGGTGCGTTTGATATTTCTCGTCTGCGGTACATGCACGGGTACATAGACACGGGTACTGTGTGTACAGGGTGTCCCCGAAATCGTGGCGCGAGTAACCGAAATAACGAAAATAGTTGAAAATAGAATTTAATATCAGGGGGGTAAAATAGGATGTTTTATTTCCAGTTAAATCTTGTCGAACGTTGAATCGAAATAATAATTTTTAAACCTTCGACGAGAAGCTATATTTATTTATGAAATTCAAATTGGCCCTCGGAGTCGTGCTAGTGGATTTTCCATATCAAAATACAGGAAAATGAGCTACTCATCGTACGATTAAAATTATATTTAACGCGTACCAACGTGCGAGAAATTTGTATGAATCCCAGAAGCTTTTGCAGTTTCATTGTAAAAGAAATAAATATATAGAGGCTAATTAAAATTAAATGCTTGCTCAATCCAGGAGTTTTCATAATTGCGTAAATCGCAGTGATGGGGATTAAAAGAAAGTAACGATGCAAATTGGTACGTATATCCCTTGCCTAAATATCAAATTTCTAAATATATAATAAATTAAAAAATCATCAATGTAGAATATAATCTACCTATATTATTCATTACTATTATCTATAATTATTACGTATTGATTAAAAGAAAGTAACGATGCAAATTAGTAGTTACAAGAGTGGCCTCAATCACATATATCCCTTGCTTAAATACCAAATTTTTAAATAAATAATAAATTAAAAAATTATCAATGTAAAATAGAATCTAAGTATATTATTCATTAATTATTATGTAAAATTATTACATTACTGATTCAATTCATTAATTAAAAGGAAAAAGTTAAATAAGAAATATTACAAAATATTTAAATACACTTTCAAAATAAGAAAAATTTTGATAAACGTGTATATGGTCACCGATAATATTTTTCTTTTCGAAATAAAATATTTGCAAAAGCGTTCTGGAACTTAAAATCGATAAATTCTCACCCTATAAGGGGTTGATTTCGCGCCTACAAAAATACCCCATCTTCAACTTCTATTAAATAATTATAATTTACATTTAATTTATAATTTAATAAATTTTCCAACATAAAATATTTATTATTCGCAAAGAGTAAAATTAAAAAATCAGGCTATCACAGTTCTATTTAATATTACCAAAATTAATTTCCTATGCAAGTTAAGATATTTATTATCCGCAAGTGGCTAAATCAAAAAATTCCATTCTACGTCAACAAATTTATTTTTCATCTCGCTTAAAATAACTGCTATTTTCAAAGGGTTAAACCGAACGAGCCATTCAAAATTCCATCTAACCTCGACAAAATTCAATTTTCTTCAGTAATAAACAATATCAAATAAACAACCCTTAAACGGGAGAATACAATTTTTCCTTGCCAATTTATTCAACCCTTGATTCTCGTACCACCCTCTACATCCACCGTGCTACAAACACACACACACACGGATGCGATCACGCACAAACACGTACACACGCAGCTAGGAGATCCGCGATTTTCGTTTTCCCATCTGGGATATAGCTGGACTATTTAAGCATACCTGTCCGCCATTTTTCCTTTTTTCCCTCTCACCCACCCCCTTCTTTGTCTCGTATCGTTTTCGTGATTTGCGAGAGCCTCTCGAGTTGTTGCCTTTCTCCCCTAACTCTCTAACTCTTTCCTTCTCTCTCTCCTCTCCTTCTTGTCTTCCCTTACCCTCCTTTCCCGCCCCCTGGCCCCCTCGCTCTCCCTCCGCCGTTATTCCATCAGGGAGAATTCAAGTGACTGGCCGTTCGTCGGGAAACGAAACACGCGAAGTGCGCGGGCAAAGTTTGCGGGAGCAACCGGCGGAACACGCTGATAAAAAAGTTTTCCCTCGACGTGTACGTGCACGCGCTCTTTTACCGCTGTTCCGCTCGAAATTTTGGGACTTATTAAAAGTTCAGCAGCCCGCGCAACGGGGCACCGAGCGTTCCGAGCATTCCGCGACACCCTGCGTCGCTCGTTACCCCTCTTAGACACGGGGCCGAGATATTCCATCGAGAATACCTTGCCCTTTCTTCCGGCACGAAATTTTCTGTTTCCCCGCGAGAAATTCTTCTGGTTAATTTTTTCGATGGCGCAAGAGTTAGGGGGACGAAGGGAAGGGGGAGAGGGGAGGGAGAAATTGGGGTGGGCGAAGAGGAAATCGGTTGTTCTGGCTGTTTCGCGGAACTTTTTGATATTTCTTTGATACAGATGTAGGAATACTAGAGTATCACCCTTTGCACTCCTTTGTCGAGCGTGACTCGACATTAGTTTCTGTCACAGGAACTCCTATGTCGAGTTACACTCCATGTTTTTCGATTCTTTATTTACCGAACAAGAGAACTGAAAATTAGTAATTATTTCAATTACAACAATGTTTGTTGCGGCCCTAGGACCGAAATGTCCCAGGTCAAGTGGAGGCCTGTTTTATGCCTCTATTGTAAGCTTCCCTTGACTTGTACATGCTCAGAGTCACCTAAACCACCGCTAGGATGAACCGTGACAAAGACCCATATATTATCCTCTAGACGACAGGCATAAGAATCCAAATGTTTAAACAACCACCACCACTGAAAGACGCTGAAGTTAGCATACTGTTCCGTCCCGGAGAGCGTGTTTAGAATATGATTTTATAATTAAGGCTTACACTTTTAACAGACATAACGGTTTATTTTATATTTTATACTGCGACTGCAATTCCGGATGTGCCTCAAAGCCGTTCTAGCGGATTAAGCTTATAAAGGTAAAGCAAAATTAGGAATTTTACTAGTACCAGACGCGACAGATGAGACCCACTTGTGACAGATCCAACAAGCGACGGACGGATTTCCTGATATCCGAAATGGAATAATGACTCAGGAGTCAACCCTTTTTCTTTTTACGTGGGTGGAATCTTCGGAAGATACCACGTTCCCCTAGGGGGGGGACAAGGTTATGTCGGATTTCTACCCTCTAAAATCCACCTAACCTAATCTAACCTAACCTAACCTAACCCTTTAAATTTTGAATTTAATATATTTTCATGTAACTATTGCTACGTGTTTTAATACTAATTTCCTGTAGTGTAATTGTTATAATTAAAGGTACACTTGGGCTTCGCAATTTTGTCTTTCGCAGTAGCTAAATTTGCCTTTCTTTTGCTTTATTTTATTAAAGCAATGGTATTTAACCAGTTGCACTCGAGAGGCGTTCTTCAGTAGCCATTTGATAAAATTTCGAAGATCTATATTAATTAACATGTCAAATTTAAGATAACGTAACAGTGTGCGAGGTATCGAAATTAAATAATTCTATGTGTTAATTATTATACAATTTTTTATTTACTGATCGAAATAATATCGTCAGCTTTGTAGCAGAAAATCTTTGAACTCCTACTCTTCTTTAGTCGAAAAATGGTCGAGTGCAAAGGGTTAATCCGACTATCTTCGAGCCGAGGGTTAACAGCCTGTTCAATCTTTTACCTTCCCTACCTGCGTTCGCGTTTTAATCATATTTCCTAATACAAGGACGACAGCTAGCATCGTTCTTAGTAATTTGGAGACGCCTAACCCGGCCTACGATTTTCCGGTTAACGCGGACGAGAAATTTAACGACGTCGTAAAGCGCTCGTTAAACCGTAATTCTATTCGAACAAACGGCAATTACGTATAAATGAACGCGTCGGAATGATAATTCCGCCTGCACGGTTACACGCGAACCTTTGATGAGGAAATTTTTCGGGCAGGAAATTTCAGGAACGAGTTTCTTATTAGGAACATTAAAATTCTAATTTTCGTTGAGGTTTAAGGAAGTTTCCAGTTTTGATAATTGTGGTTTCTTCGTGATTCTAAATTTTTCGAGCTCCTCTTGGAAATTCGAATTGCGAAATTTTTTTTTGAGAAAGAAAAATGTGGAAATTATCCTTCGAATGATTTTTATGCACGTATAACGGATTTATAATTGATAAAAGGAAAAATTAATTGGGTTCACCAAATTTTGGATTTTTAGAAACATTCGTGCGAAAATTTGAACATGCTACAATTTTTTGGGGGAAAAATATGAGACTCACGAGTAAAGAGAAACGTGTAAATCATACCTCAAATGATTTTTCTATATGTACATCTAATTTATAATTAATAAAGTGAAAGATGAATGGGGTACAAAAATTTTGGATTTTTAAAAATGGGTTTAAACAAGGATATTGTTGAATTACTGTAAATGGAGGCTCATGAACAAATTTTGTCAAGCTCCCAGTAGCAATATTTAAATCAAAATATTTTTCTAATATGCAATCGATATTTCGAGTTTTAAAAATTTGGTGACTTTCGGAATATCCGAATTTCCAATTCGAGTTTTGAAAATTTAAAAATTCGTTTTCATCTACAAAGCCTTAGTCCCCAGGCAAGATATTTCTCTCGAAAAACAGAATCACTCCCAGTTTCGAAAGTTTTGAAATTCGACGAAGTTTCGAGCGCGAATTTCGAGTATTCAAAAATTAGGTTCGATCCCAGCTCTCCTAAATCCCGTAATCTGACCCATTGAGAGCACGATCGCTATCTCCTCTTTTTACCTCCACCAAACTTTAATCCTGTCGTTCAACATTCATTCATGGACATTAGATCACTCCCTCGGTTTAATTACACCGTTTAACAAGTTTCCACGACCAACGAAGCAAAATGATAACTGCCATCGTTCTTCCCTCTCCCTTCTTATCTCGATCTCGAAACGCAGTTGTCTTCAAACGAAACGTACTCGACCCTTCGCACTCCTGGAAATTTTTTACTCGAACGAAACAACGACTCCAACACATTACTTCAACGAGAAATTTTCTGAAAGCAAACTTTCTATTTTCAAAAAGAAAAATATTTAACGGAAGGTACAAAATTTACTATAATTTTTAGCGAGAAGTATTTTGACAGGAAAATTCTTGTTTGTAAGAGAGAAATTATAGACGCGAATTTATTTACAAAGGAAGCTTGGTTATTTTTGTACCATTAACGAAGACGAGGGTAAATAACGAATCGCAGACGATGAATGGCGCCACTGGAGTGCGAAGGATTAAATCTATTTCTTGACATTAGGGGAAAGAAAGAGGCAGAACCCTTGGTGTTCCCCAGTTTGTCGATTGACGAGCTGCAGAGTGTTGACAAACGTCTTCCACCCCTTTCTGTTGACTCTCAAATCCTTTCTCTCATTTTCTCAAACAAAAATATAAAGCAGGAGATCGACGCAGCTTCGTTTCTTACTTCGGTATTCAAAATTCCCGCGCTCCGCGGTAACCGCAACGTCGCGTCGTCTAGGGGTCACTAGCGTCTCTGTTAGTTACTAACGACAACGCGTCGTAAGCCAGCGATATCAAACCGAAGCTTGAAATGGGTTTTACTGAACAAATAAATAAAATGGAATTTCGAAAACCAAAGAAGGATAAGGGAAACGGACCCAAAGATAAACGTAATATGTAAATCAGGGATGGCGAACCTATAACACGCATTGTTCATGGACGACGAGGAAAATAAAATAAATAAAAATAAATTGCACAATAGAGATGAAATTATTAAGCGAATTGCTGAATTATTTAGAAATATCGTCGAACACGTAATATTGAAATGAAAGTACAAATACAGAGCAAGAATTAAAAAGAGACTTAAATAATTACAAATATTTTCCGATTTTCCGAATATATAAAATATAAATTTATTTTATCTACAAATAGAGCAAAATTGAGGTTATTACTATATGTCATATAGCACTCAAGTTAAGTTAGGTTTCTTATTTAATTTTGACATAATGGCATTAAAAAGTTCGCCATAACCTATCTAAACCTTCGAATATATGAAAATAACTTTTCCATTGACAAAATTCTTTTCCAAAATTCCGATTCGTGAACCACGTTCCTATTCAAATTCGACACCACAGTTCTACCCAAAAATATATTCGAATTAATCCCTGGACTTACCAAACAAAGTTATATCACACGTTAAATAATTGCAAATATTTTCCGATTTTCCGAATATATAAAATATAAATTTATTTTATCTACAAATAGAGCAAAATTGAGGTTATTACTATATGTGATATAGCACTCAAGTTAAGTTAGGTTTCTTATTTAATTTTGACATACTGGCATTAAAAAGTTCGCCATAACCTATCTAAACCTTCGAATATATGAAAATAACTTTTCCATTGACAAAATTCTTTTCCAAAATTCCGATTCGTGAACCACGTTCCTATTCAAATTCGACACCACAGTTCTACCCAAAAATATATTCGAATTAATCCCTGGACTTACCAAACAAAGTTATATCACACGTTATATATCGGAGACCAGTGGCGTCGTCACTCGCAAATGCAAACAACCACGGTTCACGCGAATACTAGATTAGCAATACTCGCTACTAATCTATCATCAACCGTCACTTTCGCGTCATTGGTTGCCCAGTAAACTTCTCGCGATACAAACGCGATCGCAAATACCCGATTTGAACAGACCCGAAGAGAGCCAAGGGTGAGGGGTAGGAAAACCTAACCGCGGGGTAGCTTCATTCTGCCGGTGCCTAAGACACCTAATTCCCGTTCATTCCGCCGCGTGTACCCGCAGTATTATCTTCGGCTCGGTCCACAGCGATTCGCGTAAGCCTTTAAGTCCACCGAGCTGGTGGCTGGCATTAATTCGCAGTTCGAAAGTGCGCTCGCGAGCTAACACCCGCGTCTATGTACACGTGCACATATGTGCACAGCGATCTTTCGTGCTATGTACAGCTGCCCGTAAAGCAACCCCGTCTTGGGCCAAGGGTTAATAAACAGGGGTTTCCTTACCGACGACGTCCATGCTGGCTGAGACCAGGTCCGTGTGGAAGGATGGAGCATCAGCGGACACCTCGCAGCTGTATTTGTCGGCTGCGTCTAGCTGTAGGTTCGTCAGCACCACCTGGGTCGCGTTACTCTCGCTCTTCTGTAACAAGAAAATGCAAGTATCTGTAGGTTACTGGGACTAATAAGCAGGATTCGGAGTTTTTACTGTTACGGTAAAACTCAATAGTGAGGTAAACTCTACATTCCAGCGGTGCGGGGGCAATCCCTTCCCCCGGTGTTCTGACTTCTGAAGACGACTTTTGACCTGCGAGGCCCTAAACAGGCCAGTTCTAACCATTCGCCCATTCAATAAAGATCTACTATGCGTGGCTGAAAAGAAGTCACCTGAGAAACTCGTAGGACCGAATCCTCACCAACTCAATCATTCTAACGTCATGGCAGAAGTAGAGTAAAGGGCTTCCCTTATTGGCAGAACTGATCCCTTCCTATTAGCCCGGTCATAGAACACCGTGTGACAAAGAAAGCGAAGGAAGCAACGAGACAAAGTGAGACAGACGCAACAAATAGACGCAAGAGCGTAGACTCGTCCCAAAAGCATATTAACTTCAGATTCTTCCGACGAACACGTGATTATTTGCAATTACTAATTACTAATTAGCATCTCGATCAACTTTTCATCGCATTGTGCAGCAAACGTGCTGTACTGTACACATATTTTTTATATTTATGTCGTATCGTGTGATTTTTTTAAACGGTTATCTAGTATGATGCAATTACATAATTAATTTATCGTAAAAAATACATCTTAAATTTTAAATTAATTTTCATAAATGATGTTAATTATTATTACTTTCGTACTCCTTTATCTTATAAATCTTCCGAGCTATTGTCATCCGATTCCTTATCCGACTCGCTACTTTGTATTTCCAATCCTAGGTCTTCGATTGCGTCTTCTATTATTCGAGTGTAAGAATTTTACTGATATCTTAACTTGGAGGTAGTAGTTTTGGGAGTGTCATAGAAGAGTGGGTATTACTAGTGGAATACCCCTCTTGCTCCGCAACCTAACGAGATGACTTCTTTTCAGCCACGCATAGTACACAGTTTTTCCACAGTTTTCCACTGACTACTATTCCTGGCGTTATAACCCCTTTAACATTTACGAATACTCCTATTATTGGAGTGATTGGAGTGATTGACAGCGTGACAGATTACTGCGTGGCGACCATGTTTCATGCAACTATTATCAGAGGGAATCTAGGAGGACCGAGTACCTCGCAAGTGCCTCAGTGAACCCTCCGATTCTTATATATTGTTGCTTATATATTGGCCTCTCATATCCACCCTGTATTCGCTTAGTAACAAGAACGAACTGTCACTTGTGGAAAATAGTAACCTAGCATTTTGCAGAATATTCGAATGGAGACTTCTAGCTTCCGGCATAGTAATCTAACACCTACTAGAATATTGGGTAAAAAACAATCGTGTCTGATTATTATAAAAAGAGGCGTCTTCCGTCGAAGATCAGCGAGTTGAGTTGACAGCGTTTAGATAGGGTTCATCTAATTCTACGTCGTGTAATGGAAGAGGCTGGGGAAAGGGTAAGGGTAAAGGGTAAGGGTAAAGGTTGACCAAGATCTGAAACTCAGGGATACGATGGTGTTTACCAAAGGTTAGATATAAATCAGTAGGTATACAAGGAATTTATAGTGTTTCGATATTTTTCTTTTAGGTATCTGTTCCTAATTTCTTGTATATGTATGTGGTTTATGTGAAGATCTAGATAAAATATTTTCTCATGGATTCTTAGTTTCCTAGATGTTAACAAAATTGTTAACAAAATTGTTTTCATAGCAATCTATTAATTTGTGGTTATATATAGCCATGGATTGCTCTAATTATACATAATATTATATATAACTATACACTGTTATTATACAACATAGTATAACTATATACTATTATTTAACATAATATTATATATAACTATAAATAAATATCTGTCTGTGTGAAATATGTGTGTATATATATGTTCTATATTTTCCTACTTTGTAAATTAGTAAATGGACGTAGAATAGTATAGAAAACGTGAAGAATTAATTCGTTTCATTTTTCATTTTCCATTTAGATCATTTCCATAATTGTACGTGAATTTTAAATTTTATAAATAATTTTATATCGTTACAAAGTAAACGGATGTAATGCAAAATAAATTCAGATGTTGGATTGATTGTTAGATAATTTCCATTACTACGGTTGCTTGCGCGCGTTCTTACTTCATAGATAATATTATTTTCGAATTTTCACGTGGAAAGTTTGCATTTTACTCGAGAAAATTTCGCGACGGAAACGGTCGAATATTTTCTTCCTCGGCGACATTGTCTGCTCCGCTGGTGCCATGATGGGAATTGCAAATGTTTTTAGAAAACGTTTCCTTATGCTGTTATATGGAAACGAATCTTTAGATATTCCCTTTATGTTGCTGTTCTTTATGGTTTTCCCTTGGTTACGAATCTTTTACAAATGCCGCGATGAAAGGAGCTCTGATCTAGAGAAAAGGGAAGGGAAGAAAGGCGAGTCATTCTTTGAAACATCTAAATATCGGAGAAAGAATAGCGGGAATTACGAAATGAGTCGATTAAAAAATTATTCGATCACGACCTCGAGCAAAAAGTCCCAGAAAATATTAATTATCTCGTATGAATCGATGTTTCCTTCAAACATATTACTATACATGTTATTATACGTAACTGTAATTATAATTACAATAAAATTATTAAAATCGAATTAATAAATAAATTGGAACTCAACTGAATTAGACTCAACCCTTTACAAGAACTATATACAAAACTCTAGATAGGAAAACGAACATGTATGTTATAATCAAGAAATTTTCAAATTGCAATATTTTTGCAATTTTATTATAATTTTTGAGGTTCTGCTATATCTCAGTTGATATAACCTGGAGTAAAAAGTCTCAGAAAATATTAATTATTTCATATGAATCGATATTTCCTTTGAACATATTACTTTATCATGTGTAATTCTAATTACAATTACAATAAAATTATTAGGATCGAATTAATAAAGAAATTGGAACTCAACTAAATTAGACTCAATTCTGTACAAGAACTATATACAAAACTCTAGATAGGAAAACGAACATGTACATTATAGTCATAAAATTTTCAAATTGCATTTTCACAAATTTATTATAATTTTCGATGTTCTGCTATACCTCAGTCGATACAACCTGGAGTAAAAAGTCCCAGAAAATATTAATTATCTCATATGAATCGATATTTCCTTCGAACATACTACTTTATCATATGTAATTATAATTACAATTGTGGTAATGGTTACACAGATTTTTAAATATATATGTGTTGGTATGAGTGGAACAAGTATGCATAAGATGGAAATATCTAATGAATTCAAATTATTATGATAAATGAGTATGCGTGTAATGATTGAGGTGTGTTAATTGCGTATGTAATGTATGAAAGAAGAAAAAAAAAGGAGAATAATTTGGCATATGTCAGTTGCAATTGAATTTTAATAGTGAGAAGACGTATGAGCATGTGATTATGATAAATTAATTATTTTTATTACAATATTTTTTATAAAATATTTTATATTTATTAACTATATTTCAACCTAATATTTGTGTTTGATAATCTTTGTAATTAAATAAATAATTGTTCTTATTGTTATTAAATTTCATCCACCGCTAACAATAATTACAAGAAAATTATTAAGATCGAATTAATAAATAAATTGGAACTCAACTGAATTAGACTGAACTTTATACAAGAACTATGTATAAAACTCCAAATAGGAAAACGAGCATGTATATTATAATCACGAAATTTTCAAATCGCAATTTTATTATAATTTTCGATGTTCCGCTATACCTCAGTCGATAGTACTCATTCGCAGAAACAAGGAATTTCAGTTTCACTTGGCCAAGTGTTCTAAGACTTTCGCCTAGTTTGGTAATTAATACACTCCCGGTACTGTTCCTAGTTCAGAAGTGTAATTAACGTATAATTAACGGAGAGTCACTGGCATGTAATTAATTAACATGGACAAGGGTGCATCCGAAACCGGACGATAAACGAAAGAGAAAGAGAGGAAGAAAGTACGAAAAGGATAGGGGAGATCGATGTACAAAGCAGTGGTGCAGAATTAACATTGTCCATAGGACATGTCCGGTCCGAAGGATGAAATCCGTCAGGATTTGATTTCTATTCATTTGAATTTGTCCAATTGGACATGTCCGATGGCGCAGGTGCGTAACAGGCACGAACAATGACGACAAATGTCTCTTGTCCCCATTGTCACGTGCGAAGCCCATAGTCTAGCGCTATTTACCGGAATATTTTAGGGCCACTCGGCTTACTTCGCTCTAATTTCTGCCTCTGCCAAGACCTCCGTGCTAACCCCTTCGTGCAATTAACATTCGCGAAAGAAACGGGCCCCTTGTTTTAACTCGCAGCTACAACCCCTCTATACCAACTGTACAATGTCACAAAACACGAAGACCCTTTTCAGGGACGACGTTACAGCGAGAGACAAAATGATAGCACGGCCTGTGATCCTCCTGCGTTCCTCGAGTAACTTCAAATGGTTATGGAAATGACTTGGCCGAGAGAGACGAAAATGGTATGTTTGTTAGTCAAATTTGAGTCTCGTACTCAAATTTCGAGGGAATATATTAGTACATGTTTTGAAATAGTACAAATTTTCGAGTTGTCATTGATTTGGAATGTTTCAAAATTCATGGAACTAAATTGTTCCATTATTATCGAGTTAATATATCAGTGGTATATCATTGAATATCGATAAGATATTGTAGTAACTTTATAAATAATTAATTATTGCATCCCACAGATTTAGAAAAGCTTCCCAAATTTGACCAAAGCTTGTTGGCTGAGTAATCATTCTATATGTAAGTATATATTACACCACATTTGCGTTAAGTATCTATAGAAGACTTTAATAATTTATTAATAATAAACAATTGCATGTGCAAAATTAAGAATTCTAAAGCCTGACTTCATCTTGTCAAGCACTCTACAGAATCAGAACTATATTATTGCTTGCATTACCCTATCGTCATTACGCCATTAAAGATGTACAAAGTACCCCAACAACTCATCAACGACCAGCAAATGCATCTCCAAATTAAAACATCCTAAGCCCCTTTCAATCACACTTGAAACAAATACAAACTTCATCAATCCAAGTACTATACCATCACCATTACGCCATTAAACATCTACAAAATCCCTCAAGAACTCATCGACAATCACCATCTGAGTCTCGAAATTAAAACATCCTAAACAGCTTCCAACCACACTTGAAACGAATACAAACTTCATCAATTCACGTACCATACCATCATTACTACACCATTAAACAT